ATTCACCAGGAGTTGGTGGGAAAAAGGAGGGGGATGGTTGATTTTTCCTTGTTTTAAGATCCAAGGGGGTTTGGATCTTGTATTCACCAGGAGTTGGTGGGAAAAAGGAGGGGGATGGTTAATTTCTCCTTGTTTTAAGATCCAAGGGGTTTGGATCTGTATTCACCGGGGAATTGGTGAAGGTCTCTCAAGGCTTCCCAGGGAAGGGAATTAGCTTGAGATGGTGGCAGCGGACCAGAGCTAAGCTGGTAGTTAAGCTTAGAAGTCTTCATGCAGGCCCCCACATTGTACCCTAAAGTTCAAAGTGGGGATACAGCCTTGACAGCTACATTTTAAATACATTCTGCCCTTTGATACATCTGCAGGCAGAAAGCAACAAAGAGTCCTGTGGCACCTTATAGACTAACAGACGTATTGGAGCATAAGATTTCGTGGGTGAATACCCACTTTGTCAGACTCATGTGCATGCAAAGTGGGTATTCACCCACGAAAGCTTATGCTCCAATACGTCTGTTAGTCTATAAGGTGCCACAGGACTCTTTGTTGCTTTTTACAGATCTAGACTAACACAGCTACCCCTCTGATATCTGCAGGCAGAGTGGGTTTTGGATTTTTATTTTGACAGTGTCCCTTTAAATACAGGGAAAGCAATACTCTACAATCATTACTTGGAAATGGTAGTGTCTCTGTTACTCCCTTAATTGGGCTTTATTATCTTACTTTATGGCATTTTGTAAACAAAATATCCACTTGCCATCTGTGAACTCTCGACTCATAACCTCATAAAGGAAGTTTCTGCTTGGCTTGCTTTGGCTTTCTCAATCCATCATTTTTAGTATTAGTTTCACACTTTCATATAGCCCCCATATGTCACTGAAATTCTATTCTATTCATATGGCAGTATTCATCACTATCCGAAGGCTATGTGATGGCAGAACTGGGAATATTGTCATTTTTATCATCAATTCCTATACACCGCATAAAGGTTGCTGAACAGTACACAGGGATGCATGTTACCTTTCCACACAGCCATAAGCAACTGTGTGCTTCTGCTTTCTCAAATTTTGATCTATTGGTAGGGTCTTCCCGTGACTGGGGAGATTCAGCTCTGAGATCTCTGTCCTGTTCCTTATACACCAACAGTAGGGTGTGCAGTAACCACACCATAGACTGAACAAGCAAAGGCCTGTTGTTCTGACACAGAACTAAATGATCTTTGTATGATAAGTAGGCATGAGTCAAATTCATTTTGAGTACTGGAAGTTTCATCCACCAGGTTCAGACTTGCAGAGCGTTGTGTATGCCAGCTGATAGCCAGATGCTAGAGTGGATTTGACCATTAGTGTAACCCCCATCTCCTGGCTGGATTCTAGAGATCCAATTCAAAGCCAGCGCAGGTTGGTGAAACTTCCAGCAAGCTGTAAGAAGGTGTAAGTCAAAGTAAGTCCTGCCAACTCCTTATCTTGTAAGTTATACCACCTTGGATTCCCTTGGACAGTGGCAGAATGTGGGTGAGTACTTCTAAAAGAGTCTCACTGAGTGTGTGGAAGTTAATAAAAGGAGGGCCTGACTTACACATTACCTCTGGATTTGTGGTGTGTTCATGTCTTGTGCATTATAACAGCCAACACTCGAGCAGGGACCAGCCTGGTCCACTGAAAGCAACTTTTCCATGTGAATGCAATAGGAGCCTCTCTGAGCCAGGAAGAACAGAGGGGCAAGTAAAAGTGCCCTCTGCGGACTTAACAGAGCTTTGTGGCTCAAATGTGGGGGAAAGTTCAGCTGTGCATTCTGAGAGAGTCTATAATGACAAACACAATTAAGCAGTATGTAGCTGGCCATTGAAATAGTGGTTAGACATGTACCACGTCCCTCACATTCCTTTCTAAATCATTCTTGTGATGAGTAAATATAACACAAATGGTGAAAAACATAAATTGCAGTGATGAAAATAGGTATATGGGAAGCACTGCAGAAAATCCTGTAATGCCTTAATTGAGTTTATTTTAAACAACCCCCTGCATTGTCAGATATAACCCCAATATATTTTTAGCACTAATCCAGTCATGCCTGATTCAGATATATTTATATTTTAACCATTGTTACTTCAGTGTATGATCAGAAAAGATAAGAGAAAGAATCACTGAGTAAAGCACAAATATGATTAGCAACTCTGAGATACTGATATACTGTACATTAGTACAGGCTTTTGGTATAAATAGTATATAGGACTGGTACCCAGGATTCCTGAGTTCTATTCCCAGCTTTGTAAATGACTCGCTGTGTAACCTTAGTCAAGTCAGTGAGGGGCACAGTTTCAAAAGTAAGTGTGCTAAACTGCACATTGACTTTTAACAAATTTCACGTGCATGCATGTAGCCTTGATTTGGACATGCATATCGATATTTTTACCCACAAGCCACAGTTTGTACATACACACAAACACCAGCTTTTGTTTAATGACCCCACCATGGATCATCAGTGAGAATTAAACCTAGGACCTTCAGCACTGAAAATACAAGCCACTTCCACTCAAGCTATAAAGGTAACTACAGTAGGTTGAAGCAGTAGTAGACTCCAATCCTCTATGTGCACCAGCCATTAGAGTAAAACACTTAAACAATGAGCTACATTTGTATGCTCACACCTTGCACATTTTCATGTGTGTAAGTGCAAGTGTCTTTGAAAATGTGTCCTTCAGATTCTGTATTTTAGTTTTCTTCATAACACTTATCTATTACACAGGGATGTTGGGAGGTTTAGACAAGATTTATCGAATGCTCTAAGATCCTCACATGAAATGCACAATTGAGCCCCCATCCAAAACCCATTGAAATGAACAGGAACCATTGACTTCAATGGACTTTGGATAAGGCCCTAGAATAGGTGGATCAGATGGGGGGAGGGATAGCTCAGTGGTTTGAGCGTTGGCCAGCTAAACCCAGGGTTGTGAATTCAATCCTTGAGGGAGCTATTTAGGGATCTGGGGCAAAATCAGTACTTGGTCCTGCTAGTGTAGTGAAGGTGCACAGGTCTAGACTCAATGACCTTTCAAGGTCCCTTCCAGCTCTACAAGATAGGATATCTCCATTAAAAAAAAATGTCCTGTTTTGGGGGACTTTTTTTATATAGGTGCCTATTTCCCCCCACCCCTGTCCCATTTTTTCACAGTTGCTATCTGGTAACCCTACCCTAGAAGGGCAAGATGTTGTTGTTGTTGTTAAATCCCAAAAGTAAGTCAGAGTGCTTCTCTTCCACCTTGGAGACTGTTTAATCAACAGTTCTTTGCTTGTTTTTGTTTGTTTATTTGTTTGTTTTTGAGGATGGTGGGGATACTCAATATATTATTTCAGATCAAATATTTATGCATCAAAATAACTAGACTAGCTATTTGTACTTGCTTTTACAATGGAGAATTATACTAACTTCCCTAATTATATACTTAAATCCCTAATACAACACAAAGATCCTTCTTGCCTGCCTTATTATTGCTTTCTGACTTGTTTTCAAATAATCCTACGAAGCTCTGCTGTACCTTTTGGCACTTAATGAAAACAAACACACATCGATCTAGCAAAGTATAAATACTGGCAGCTTGGAAACATCTATAATCATAGACAATGGAATAACTTGTCATGGAATAATTTATGGCCACATGGCATTAAAAGATGCCTAGATTAAGGGCCAGATTCTCCTGCTAAGGGAACTCTCAGTGGGCAGAGAGATGTCATAGACCCTGGACTCTAATTCCCCCTCTCTACCTGTGCCAGCATTATTCTTCAAAGGGATATTTCTTCATTATATACAGTAAGCAATGTTGAGTCACATCATCCTATCTTCTAGGACTGGAAGGGACCTTAAAAGGTCATCCAATCCAATCCAGTCCCCTGCCTTCACTAGCAGGACCAAGTACTGATTTTGCCCCCAATACCTAAGTGGCCCCCTCAAGGATTGAACTCATAATCCTGGATTTAGCAGGCCAATGCTCAAACCACTGAGCTATCCCTCCCCACTTAAGTCATGATCCCTTTAAAGTCAGTGAGAGTAGCACAAATCCTTTCTTGCAATGGTGTAGAGCTGGCCATAACTACAAATATTTCCTCTAGGGTTCAGTAGAAATATGGGTCCCCTCTCCAAACAGGGAGAACTGTTTAATGCATAGAGCCAACAATTAATTGTTGCCTGTTTCACAGACACACACCATTATATTCTTTCTTACTCACATTTTTCCATGAGACATAGGACATCTCCTGAACGGCTGGTTGTCTTTCATAAATGATTATTTAACAGATTTGGTAACTTTTCTTTGCCTCCTGCTGCTCTGTTCTGCTGCACAGGATCTGCTATAACATCATAGAGCATAAGTAATGAGAGAGAATCTACTTGTTGTAACATGACACGTTGAACCTTAAATTGTTAAATAAGCCATGGTTTTAGGGTGGGTTTTGACTGCATTTCTTGAATATTTTTCTGTTAACCCACAAAGCAAATGCCAAACCAAGTTTTTGTGGAATGCAATGAGCTGGCTATCTGCCAATGTAGACATTTCCATTCTGTGCTTCTTTGTATGTTTCACAGTGATACATTTCTAGTCACAGGGAAGTTTCCGATCCAGTCTTCAAGCACATATTGCTTGATGGCTTAAAGTTGGTTTCGTTTCTTCCACTACCTTTAATAAGCACATCAATTGCAGCACAGTTAGACTGCAGTTCTGAGAAATGGAATCTGTCACTGCAAACAAAATGTTGTCAGGTTTTTCAGACATCATTTTAAACTGCAGCAAAAATGATCCAGAAAAAAGAGAAGAACCTCATTATCCCATAGTAATTTAAATCTGATTTTTTCTTCTTGGGAAAGCAAGGAAAGGAAAGGAAGCCACAGCTGTTCTACACAAGAAAAATGGCTTAATTCCCTCAGTTAGGTCTCTCTTCTTTGCTGTCTGCCCAGAGGAGAGGACCTACCTCCTCAAGGTTGAGATGTATGAAAGGGTCATCTGAAAGGAACTGATGGTCTTGTTTTTAAGGTCCTGGACTGGGAATGAAGGTAATTGGGTTCAATTCCCAGCCCCGCCGCAGACTTCATGTGTGACTTTGGATAAATCACTTAATCTACCTTATTCTTCAATTTCCAATCTGTAAAATGAGCATGATAGCCTTTCATTTGTCCCACCTTTTGTATGATTTGTCTGTGTGGGGCAAAGACCGTCTTTTAGTATGTGCAAAAGTAACTAGGCTACAATCCCATTTAGGCTTCTAGGCACTATGTTAATAGAAATAATTACAAAGAATGGATAATACGAAAGGAACAGCTTGCATCGCTCCACAGTGACCAGTGTGGCCAATCTAGAAAAAAGGTTACAAAAAACACAGGTCCTTGAGAGAGGGAAGTGGAAGCAGAAGGAAAGGTGGATGCAGTGACAGGATGCCATATATATTTCTCCTTCCTTCCAACCCCATGTAAAAGACAAGAAAACAATGTATGAGGGATACAAGCTTTTGTGTAAAATAACGACAGTTATGGAAATAAGTTAGTCATGGGGTGATATATGCAATTTACACTTCAGCCCTTGGCCTCTTGGTTGAGACAACCCACATGGGCATCAGTTGATGCCTATGTTTGGTTGCTGTTATGGAGATGTATATTCAATAAAGCACCGAGTGTTGAAGGTTACCAGGCTTATTCGGATACCAGCCTTCAAATAACTGTGGCTTTTAGTCACTACTGACATAGGATGAATTAGAATGGCTGACCCTAAGGCGAAATGCTCTATATCTCATTACCAGTCAGTTGGAGCCATCCAGCATCCCAGGCTCTTTGTTAGGAATGTTTTAGCAATCTTTGACCTATGATGGTTGGTGTAATCCCTTCAGATTTGAAATGGCTGCTATATTGATTCACAAAGCACAGGGTTTTTCTACCTGCTATGTGAAACTCGAATAGAACAGACGTATTATGAATTGTTACTACCAAGTAGGATTAAAAATGTCAATAAACACTTTTTAAAGTCAATTACATTAATTAAATATTGTCTTTGTGTCAGTTGGCCAATATCTCTGCATAATGAACCCATTTCATACATAACAGGTCATGGTGAATGGTGTACAACACTTTCAAAAATTAATTGCATTTATTAGAGCGGAAAAAAATCCATAGCAAATGATGGGGGAAAACACCTAACTAGTAAAATATAATTGTTCAGTTCTATAGTATCATGGAAGTGCTGCGTACACTGGCCTACTAAGATGCTTCAGTGGAGTTTGCAAGTCAAAAAGGCAAATAATAATAGCAATGCTAGCATTTGATCTGTTTTATTATTACATCTTAACTTGTTCCCCCATGCTATAGAAATTCTCCAATACAGTCAATGTGCCTGGCTTACTAAATATGACAAACAATGTAGCTGATTTGAAGGAGACTTGCTGCCTATTTTGTAGTGAATAAATAAATGCTACAAATTCAATTTGTCATAGCCCACCTGAGCCCTTTTATACTGCAATGTCAAAGCATCATGGTATCAATTACTGGTGATATTTTAATCTAGAAAAAGATTTTCAGAATAGGGACAACTTCTGTTAATAGATGTTGGCATGTTCTCTCTATATGGCTTTGAGGGAATCTTGACATACATAGACCCTGCCCCCAAACAATTTACAATCTCTATTTCTTTAATATATGTGTGCATGGAGCCTAGCGCACAGTGGTCCCCAACCTGAACCTCTAGGCACTTCCATAATACTAATGAACAATAATAATAATATCTTAAATGTATAGACCTCCTTCTATTCAGATGATCCCATAATGTTTTACGAGATTAAACTGATATGTAACTCACCAGTTTAATTAACCTACTGTTGGGGTGACATTCAGCAACTGCTTCATAGGGCATAACAATACCACAGTTTAGGACAGGAAGTGGAGGATATAATTTAAACTGTGGGCACTATTTGGATATGCAGACTGTAATTATCCATGTCTGAATTTGACCAAAGCATTGGAGTTAACATTTTTGTTCTAACAAAGAGTGTCATGAACTCCTTAACTGCCACAGGACCTTGGTACTGTCTCTTTGAACAATAGCATTTTCAAAAGTATAGTGCCTCAACAAAAATAGCATTGATCAACATATCACTATCATCTTACTCATGTAGAGCTTTTTCTTTCCTTTTTTTTTAAAGGTAATTGTCATATGTGAGTATGAACCAATCTAGTAAAAGTTTACAACCCCTACTGTATTGTTGCTTTACCTTTAATCATAATTTGGTATTTACAAGCAAGGTAAATCAATGAACTTGCAAGGAAATGAATACAAATTAACCATGAGTCTTAGCTTAAATAAATAAGAACACTGTGCAGAATTTTAGAAACATACAGTAAAGACAATAGGTACTCTCATGAACATACTGACATGTGTTCCATTAGAATTTGAGGGATTCTCCGAAACTGCTGTTGTACAGATTATCAAATCCAGGGATAGGCAACCTATGGCACACGTGCCAAAGGCGGCATGCAAGCTGATTTTCACTGGCACTCACTCTGCCTGGGTCCTGGCCACCGGTCCAGGGGGCTCTGCATTTTAATTTAATTTTAAATGAAGCTTCTTAAACATTTTAAAAACCTTATTTACTTTACATACAACAATAGTTTAGTTATATATTATAGACTTATAGAAAGAGACCTTCTAAAAACGTTAAAATGTATTAAATTAGAGTGAATAAATGAAGACTCGGCACACCACTTCTGAAAGGTTGCCAACCCTGATTAAATCAAAAGCCATAAGAAATTCCCATATTTTAGCAGAATTCCAACTGACATTCAGGAACTCTGAAAACAATGTATGACTATATGTGGTTTTGAATAAGCTGCAGTTAGAAATGTCATAAAGCATCATGGATTTAAAGAGCTAATTCAGAAGAGATTTTTTTTATTTCTAAATACAAAGCCTGATAGTTTTTAATAGTGGAGAAAGTACTGACATTTACTGCCACCTGTTGGGAAATGTATAAAACTTCTCTCTCCCATAAGTATGCAGCAGTGATATCCATACATACTGATCCCAGCATGCATCCAGTATATCTCTCTGTGTTATCTCTTATTAGTGTGTAGGAGGATTGAAACATCCAGTTTTTCTATACAAACAGTCTTCTTACTTCCATTTGAGGGCAAATGAACAAAATGAAACCCCACGACTTAGCTTACAAATCAATACCTAAGTCCGGAGCAGAATTAGTTTTTTGAAATACTTCAAAACCATGAATCTTTGCATGTAATAATGTACACATGAAATGTATCTGTTTGCAGGGACCTTTTTGACATTAAAGTATATGACTTTAAGTATAGTATAAAGTATATTTGAGATTTCCCTTTGGAAAGCTACTATCATCACCCCAATTCAATAGATCATCAAATAATTTATTTCTATGATTTTCAAAAGAGAAAAACGATAGGTAGCAAATATTAATACTAGACACACCATAGATCTGCTTTAATAATGTAATGAACAGGAAATTATAATGTTTCTAAGTGGTGTGGCTATTAATGATTCCATGGCACTTTTTATAAGGATAGGGGCATTACCCCAGGACAAATTGCTATATGAGTAATTACAATTTGCCCACTTTAAATTCCCTAATATCAATTGGGTGCTGTGTTCTTCTCTTCCGGTCCTAAATTGTTTTGTAGCTGTATGTTATAAACAGCTGCCACATTCCATATCGCAGCAGTGTGTTAATTGATTCCTATGTACATAGGGCCAAATCTTTCCTAAGCAAGCATGGCGTGGGCAGCAGTTCTTATACTCTCAAAGCTGCAGATAAATTCAGTGAATGAGACATTGTGCCATCATGGAAGAGGGATATCAGAATCAGGGCAGGGCTAGCTATTTGCTAGGGGAAACTGTATATTTGGTAGTCAGATTTTCCCTCCTGCCATGCCTCTTTTACACTGGTTCATGCCCTCTGCTATGAGTAGTCTGGGTCTCGTTCATTAGCAGCACGGGCCTGTTAATGCACCATGGCAGAGTCTCATCTTCACTCCCATGCCTGTTGCAATGCAGCTTGCATGAGTACTTGGATCAAATGAGTCTAAATGAATCCAAGGGCTCAGTTGTGGAACCCTAGTATAGGTGAGCACTTACCAGCATAGTCCCATGGGCTTGAGTGGAGCTACTCTTATAAGCGCTTGGCAACATGAACAAGGGTTCCACAGCTGGGCCTTAATTGAGACTAACTGGGCCACATGCTAAGGTGAAAGTTAGATTCCCTTAGACCTTCTTACACCCGCTCTACCAATGTGTAAGACAGGTATAATTTAATGTATTTTGCACCTTCTTCCAGCTGACTCTCCT